TTCAAATTCACCATAATTCGTTTCATCACCCAAAAATCTATCTAGAAAAAAAGCAGATTTAGTAGCTCTACATTTCATGTAGTGCTAAAAAATATGTGAAATCTTGCACCATAGTGCATTGCACATAATCTACCAACCAAAGATGGTACAGTGCGTTTCACCGAATCAACTAACGTTAAGGCCAGTGCATTATTTACATGATGGTGGAACCAGATTTTTGGTTCGTCGCACAAGTAAAACAACAACCAATGGAAAAAATGCATCCCATAAAATATCGTTGTTGGCTTTGCCGATGCTTGTGCTGCTGCTGCTGCTGCTTCGCGTATTTAAAAACCGACTTACAAATTTCCAAAGAAAATGATGAATCACAAACTCATGGTTGCGACTCACACACACACACACATTTCAAAGCTAACCAAAAACTTGATCGGCCACGGAAATTTCGCTCGGAAATCACCGATAAATTGCAGCCAATGTTATATAGATTGCACGAAAAAGAAGTGGGAGAAAAAAAAGGTTCAAAACCATGAATTACGATGCAGCGCGCACAGCAACCAACAGTCTAAATAAAATATGATTGTATGCGAAATACACGACGATGGCAACGGTTCAAAACGGGGCCCAATCGCTTTGCAATTCGCTCAAATTTTGCGATGGGTGTACAGTGTATTGTACACCGTACAGCAGAGTAGTCTTGTACAGTGTTTCGGCATTGCATGCAATATTTTAGTTTCGTATGTATGCCTAAAGTGCTGATCATTTCCATTTCACCCAACAGTCTACTTAGTTCACTGTTCACTTGCGGAAAGTTAATGAACAGATACAAGTCAAAATGTGAAATTAAATATTATATTTTACCCTCACTGCGAATGCTATATCGAAAGGCCATCAACCAATTTAAGGAACGAATGCATGCTTTTGTAAATGGTAAGGTGGTCAAGCTCGTTATTACGATTCGTTGTTGTTTTTAAAACGATGGCGGCACTGATGTCGATGAGAAAGAGAGATGAACTTGTGAACTTATGCGATTTGTGGTGCAAACACAGTATGCACTTTATGCACATTCGTGTGCCAACCACAAATTGGTTGCGTAATGTGGCATTCACCTAGCATCAGATTTATCACGGCTCGCTATCTGCACAATAATTTTAGTTTAATTTTGATTGCATTGCCGGCAATGAGTGTAGTTCAATTTTCAGTCAAGCCACCCCGTCGACGTCACTCAAACATGTGACATACAAATACTCCCCCGATCACTCACTCGCTTGAGCAACAAACACAACAACCGAGTGATTCTCATTTTCAGCAGCGAAATATCGACTAGCTACTGACGGATAAAATCATTACGATTGTCATTTTAACGAACTCATTCAAACGCATAAAATATTGATACATCGAATGGATGACCGTATTGTGAATGCCCAGCAAAATCACATCGGATGGCAGCAAGATCGAAAACAACTTAAATGACAACTGTAGCGACGCAAGCGCCCTCAATTTCAATAGGCAAATCAATGTAATTTCGGAATTTTTTTCTGAACTAAACAGCGCAACAATTTTAATTTTCTTGATTCTGCCACCCTATGCAAAATCATTGAATTGGCTTAGCACAATTATTCGAATGGACTTGAACATTTCAAATATTATTGCCGATAGACTAACATTTTTGTCCGGTTTCCTCTTGTTGTGTGTTCTTATCGGTCTTCTTTGCTCTCTTCATTCTCATCGAATTTTACTTTCCATCAGCTCCGTCACAAATGGGCTGAGTATAAAAAAAGCGAACAAGAGAAGAAAAAAAAGGAGAAAACAGTTCAATGGATTTGAACATCTCGATAAACTTGCTAAAAATACTGAAAAATTACTACTTTCAAATGAAGAAAAGAAAGTTTGTCAATATTTGAACATTTTCGGTTCATACTTATTTGCTTCTTTGCGATATATTTCGGTGAAAAATTGATGGGAATATGTTTGTGTGTATGTGTGTAGTAGTGTCGGTTCGGATGAATAAGCACGGTATCGCATTTCGAAAAGTGCATCGCATTGTATAAAATGGCCCATGAATGCATGGTTACACTCACATCGACCTTGCAAAATAACCCATGGTCGGTGTGAATGGTAGCAGTAGTAGTTGCAATAACAACAACAGCTGCAAAAAAATGCGATTCTTCTAAGAAATTTCCTGATTTCCTCTTTCATCTCCGACATAGCTAAACATTGTATATTGTTGTATCGGGCCGAAACGAATTGAACGAGCAACTGAATGAGAGCGAGCGCATTTTACATTTTTCGATTGTGACTTCGTTTTATATTTATTCGCTTTATTCGCATCGTTCCGCTTCCAATGAGTGCATTATCCTGAACATAATGGGAAATAAACACTCGATTCATATGCTTTATTAAACATCACAACAATATTTTGTTGAATGATTTCTCTGGTTGTTTTTTTTTTCATGCTTTATTATATTATATCGTCACAAAACACCACCACCAACAACAAAAATAATAATAATGGCAAAACAAAGAGATGCGAAAGCGAGGGTGATATTAAATGAAATGGGAAAATAGATGTGTGCACAGCAGAAAAACTTGAAATTATCTTGTCTTGTTGAGTAGATGGTTTTTTTTTTAACTCGATTAAATGAACGAGCCAATACTGATGGTATGGCAAAAGACGGAGAGGAAAAAAAAACTACGAATTTATGTCAGCAGTTCATTTTGTCATTTTGAAATCGTTTATTTTTTGACTATACAGAACAAGTTTTCTTTCCGATTTGTTCCGTTGTCTATTCCTCATTCTGATTGTTTTGTCTGTCTCCTTTTGTGTTTCGTATTTCTTCTGTGTTTTTTTTCATCTTCTCTTTCAACTTTCGGTATAGTTTGATGATTCATAAGCGCAATCATCCGTGAATTAATGCATAGGTACACAATTCAAGAAATGTTAACTTTACGAAAACTGCATGCTTGATCAAAGTCTGAATTCGACTGACGATGACGACGACAATGGTGGTGGTGGTGGTATCAAACCATGTACTGCTGCAATTCATGTGCTGCTCGATCCAATAAGTGCTGCGTGTTGTGCAATTCCTTTTGATGTTCACATGGATCGTCATTTGCTTTGCAATATTGTATGTACATGAGTTGAACTGCTCGACTATCGATATGCCAATATTGAATTGGTTGTGACGCTGAAGAGCGAATGAAAATGGTTGAAAACTGATTTGAAAACATGTCGACATACGTACATATATATGTATATATTTTCAATCAGTGGCACAAGGAAATTTGAGATAAGTTGTATACTCATCTCGTTGTTGGTGCACTTTTTTTTTGTTTATTTCTGGACCAAGTGTAGATTACAAAGTATTTGGATGTTATTGAAAACGGCGAATGCACACTGAGTGTTGTTAGTGTTATTGAAAATGCAGGAAATGAAAGCATTCAAACGATTGAAATTGAACCGAAAATGCAATTGTCAAGCGCAATGCATCCGATCTTGAGTGAATGAAACTTTGCTAAAGGTATTCACATCAACATCAACTAACGATCGATTTGGGTGAAAATCACCCATCCACCTTTCCACACTTACACACACAAACACAACAACAGCACTCTGTTATGCTGAATGCGGCAATTCTTGTGTTACCGTCCAACTGCACACAACAATGCAATATGGTCTTGAATTGTTTACAAACTTATTGAATTCATTACGATTATTTTTGCATAAATCGTGGCGAGTGTATGCGAGAGAGAGAGAGAGAGAGAGAGAGAGAGAGAGAGAGAGCGGGAGAAAGAGAAAGAGAACGAGAAATATGAAGAGGAAGGTCGCGAGAGACAACACCATTGTCGATTCCGAATGCAAACCGGTAAATCATAAATATTTGAAGCTTCACAAAGCACAAATGGTTGCCATAAAGAGAATATTTGAATGACACCAGAATTCAGCGGTTATGTAACCGTTTTTCTTACAAAGAAAACAGAGAGCGACTTCAAGAAAATGCTCGTCAAGTTGGACAGCGAAAAAGCCACCAAAGGAAGGGAAAGCTAAACCAAACCAAAACAAACCGAAAAAAAACAGAAGAACGAATCCAAGAGCCAAAAGAAGAAGGCCTGTGGAACGAGAAGCAATAACAATTCATTGCAGTGGCTTATATTTAAAATCACATTTACTATTTATTTCCCCTTAAATGTTTTCGAAAGAACTGTGCTGTTTATCATTGTTTTTGGCAACGGCTTTTTCGCTTTCTTCTCTGCTTCACATGCCGTTTGGTTTGCGTGTGCTTTCACTTGCGCTCTCTCTTACTCTCACTCTCAATCGTTCGCAAAGCACATAAAAATAAATGCTCGCGACTGCGCATCAAATCGAAAAGCACGTGACAACGGATTGTCTATTACTGTATGTGCCGTGGTGGAATGTGAAAGAGATGGCTTTGAAAGAAGCCAGTAAATGTAGTTCACGTTGTGATTTATGCAATTCACACTATGTGCTCGGTGATGTACACGTTCATTCGGCTATCCAGTTTTCAAGCATACACACAGCATGACGCTTCCTGAAAGCTGCTATAGTATATATACGTGCCACATTTCCTCCGCTGCTACACAGCGGAGCATTCATAGAATTCATGTGCATTACGGAAGCTTTTTTTGTTGTTTGCCGAGAGTGAGAGAGAAAAGCATGCACGGCATCACCCCTCTATCCATCTAATTGGAAGAGAGAAAAAGCTTTCATCAACCGCCGCAGTAGCACTCAAAAGTAGTAGCGGCAGAAGCAGCAGCAACAACAACTGTACAACTTATCTCGATATAGCGTGTGTGCTTTACACATTCTCTCCATTTTGCTCTCCCTCTATGCTATGGCACAGCCAAAACCCAAGTGGAACACACAACAGAAGTACAGAAACAACAAAAATTATATCGAGAAGTGCAGAACAAAAGTTATGTGCTGTGTAGACGTGTGGTCTTTCGCGATAGACTCATTCAGTTTGAATGTGCATGCCATTGAATTGGCATCGTTTGTATTGGAAGCAGCGCGTCGTTGTTGTATCGACACAAAATCAAAGTGTTCACGTTGATCCATCAGTTCGTATGCGATACGTAACATTGCATCACACGATACTACCGTTGAAACGAACGTCCTCATCATCAACTTTTGGAACACACGGTTGCGATCCTGTGTACCACGCATCGCAGCTACCTATAACGGAATACCACGGAAATAGCTTGACGAACGGTGATTATTTCAAAATTTATATCGGTGGTTTGAGTGATGGATTGCCATTGGCAGACGTCTGATCATCGACTTTTCTTCAAATGTTCGTTACCACCGTGAATATAGACACATCCACACGCCCCGTTCCTTGTATCAGAATGCAATTCTGCAACGGACCAAAATATAATCCAGTTCAGTGAAATCATTGATGAGATCTAAGCTTCAATCGTGCGGATCGATCGGATTTTCGGTGATGTTTCGTTTGTGGATTTAAAAACAAAAACAAATAAAACAGTGCGTAACCGACATTTATTTATGCTCTTTCTTCTTCTTCTTCTTCTTCTTTTTTGTTGTTGCTCCTTTAAAAAATCCCATTTCCAAAACTGTTTAATTTTATTTGTTATTTTTGATTCGTATGTAATTCATTTTATTCAAAAACAAATGAGTGAGAGCAATTAATCCGAAGCAATGAAAGTCATCAAGCAGATAATGAAAAGCGATGGTCATTCAAAATTCAATGGGATTTTTTTTTAGTGTGTCGGTTTTCGTCCGTTCCACACAAGGAATTCATTATCTAAATTAAATATTGATCACACCCGAACATTTTAATAGAATTGTTTTTAGATTGCACTATCGTTACAATGATTGGATGTGGCAGTGCATTGCAAGCCAATTGTGTGTTATGTAATGATAATATCCCCAGCATTTTTGGCTTTAGAGGATTTTGTCATATATATCTGTATTATATACATTTTGTATGCGTATATTTGTTTTTGTCATAAAAAAAAATTTAAGTGTATACATTGCTCCCATTATTTTTTTTGTCGGGGTGATACCATGAAATCGATTAGCAAGTGGCAATAATATTATTTTAATGGTTCATATCGAAAATTGATCAACGTATAATATATATGAGCACTTTCGAAATGCAACCGAAAATAGTAATTAATTACAAAAAGTTGATACACATACACTCACATACACAAAAAATGCATAGCCTACACACATGCCAAACAATGGGGAAAAAAACAATAGACAATACGTGCCCAACATAACAACCAACAATCACACAAGATAATTAAATGGTGCAACAATACCAACAACGAAAAAAAAAATGTATGGCTGAATGGGGTCCAACTTTCCATTTGAATGTTTGATGTGAATTGTTTAGTGAAAATAATTTAACAGCCGCAGATATAACACACATTCAATTATCAATTTAGAATGCGTACGATTTGTGCCAAACTTTATTCCACATTTGGTTAAATTTTCGAAATTTTAAACATTTTGTTAATATGCTGACACTAATTTTGTACGGTTGTGAAATGTTAAGTATGTAGCAAATCCTATTCATGAGAGATGTTTGTGTTTCGTTTCGATGAAATTTTTATTTGTATAAATTTGTTGCGCGTGGTGAGTGTGTGTTTTACCATATCTCTTGTTACGAGTGCAAAATTCCACACATACACAAAACGCACTCATATGAAGTTTAAATTTCAGGTATACTACCACTACCACGTGGGTACAATGTGACAACGTTTGAATTTGTTAATTATTTTCTGTTTGAAGAAAATTCGGCGAAAAATTTATTGAAGAAAAATAAAAAACGGAATGAAAAAATAAATAAATGCAAAACATGATGTTTTACAACCCCGTGTTGTTGTTGGTGTCGTCATCGTTGTTGCAGCAATTCGTTCAACTGATTGAACCAAGTTCCCATACATTGTAGCACGTTTCCGTTTTCTGTTTCATCCGATTCCACTGTATTTTCATGTTCTCTGTTTTCTGATCTGTTCACTGTGCTCGCTTGCTCGCTCTTGGTTCGGTTTGGTTGGATGCAGTTCAGTTCGGTTGTATTTTATTCGTGAACTTTACATCAACTTTATACCCGAAATAGTTTCAAAAGCTTGGCATTTCACAAAAGCGCAATTAAAGTGAACATGTCGTATGGAAATCGTGGTTGAAATTAATTTGAGCAAGGAGTTTTTAACAAGCATACACAACTAAATTGTATTCTTCACGGTGCTGTGTTTTTTTTTTCTTCATCGCTCCCTCTTCCTTCAACGAATATAAAACACACAGACTATTGTGTTGCTTCCGATAGATTCGCGTTGAATTGAATTGGGCCGAGAGGAAAAGTGCAAGCAAACGAGTGAGTTGGCGCTTTTGATATCATTTCAGATGTGAGTATGTGTGTGTGTGTGTTGATTATGAATATGATTGCGATTAATAAACACTTGTGATGCGATGCGATGCGATGCGATTCAATGACACATTATTTATTTGACGAATAGCTAGGGTGTATGCAAAGCAAGCGAAAAACACAATCTTTTTGCTGCTTTGCTGTGTTGCCATTGTTGATTGTTTCCCAGCGAAAGTGTCATGAATTTCTCTCGCATTTGTACAAATAAGCGCGCTTTATCCTCTGATTTGTTGTCAATAAACTGAGCTTCGCAGTGGATATGTAAAATTCATTATCCGCTGCTTTTATCGCGATTGCTGTAATAGAAATGTTTTCATCGCTTTTCTATCTCTCGGTTTCTATGTTTTCCTCCCGTTCGTGCGCGAATACACACACACACACACAACCACTCACAATATTCACATTCGTCCTGCGTTTTCAGCCCGAACCAAGCCAAACATATCGATGACAAAATAGTATCAACATGCTTTTTATTCCTTGATACATTATGCAGAAGAATTGGAAAATAGTTTTAATAATTCATTGTATTAATTATGTGTTAACCGTTTTTGAGTTCAACACGCACAGCATGCGAACACTGCGAACACGATACTCTCTCTTATCGCATCAGCATTAGCAAACAGCACCGTCGTACAACATAACGTTTCGATAATGGCATTTGAAAAATCATCTACATATATGTAGATCGTTGTCATCGTTCGCATTCAAACTTTCGTTGTTGCGTTCCATTCTTTCTCCCCCCCGTTTGTCGTTCGTTCGTTCGTTCGTTCATTTGTTGATTGCATACTCTCTCGTTTTTCTTAATATGTTTTGTATTTTTGCGTTCGACATTCTATTCTTCTTCGTTTCATTTCATTCGTTCGTTCCTTCGTTCGCTTTTACTGGCAAAACGTTCAACAGTTTATTTTTGACTTTTAACAAAATGTGGTGTGCCGATTATTCCGTAGATTTAGTCTCTCACATACCAAATGTATATATATATATATTCAATTTGCATTGAAACCAAAACCTTTTATTATCCGTCATCAAATTATTCCGACATTTGACAAATGCCAACGTAGTAGTGTGAATGCGGTGGCGATGGCGAGGATGCCGCGCTATTGTCTACGTTGTTTTGTTTGGAAATCAAAATTGATATTCACACAAATTTACATTACAATGGTTTTCCAGTCGTGGATTTTACAGGTATAAAACCGGATATGTATAAAGTACCGATAGAAAGACAAAAACCGAGACCACATAATAATCATAATAAAAAAAAGAGAAACACGAATGAACGTGGGTGGGTGAACAGATCATAAACGCAACCGCGCGTCGGATGGGCACCAAATAACAAATCAAATGTATTTGCAGTGTGTTTCGTGAGTCAAGTGCTTTTGAGCCTTGTTGAATGGCCTTGCATACGAAAGACTTACTTTTCCTCATTATTTTCTCAAATCAATGCTATTGTCGGAAGACGCCCATGAACGAATTTTGCTAAAGCGTTGGCATGATGATAGGTAATTGTGACGTGGGCTCGATTCGTATCGATCAGATAATCAAACGAATTTTAACTTTCCAAACGACCAAAGTTATTTGAACGGTATTAAACTAACTAATAACGGATAACATGCAACTGACACATCTGAAACGAATAACATGAAAATGTCTCACTTTTTGTTATCGTTATCAAGAATCGATTTGAACCACATTTTTTGGGAGTGATTTTTCCTTCTACTCATTTTTGAATCACAATACTTTTCTCATAGAGTATTTCGTAGTTAGGTTGGGCCGATGTGAAGAAAAATGAAAATCAAAACAGACACATGCACAATGGGCGAAAACAAAGCTTGACAAAGCAAGATCCGGTGGTTGAATCAGTGTTCGTGCTATGGATTACAAGAGATTGAAGGGAAAATCTTTCACATTTTTTCCTCTTTCGTCTATATTCACTTTAAAATGAACCACCCTTTCAAAACCGAATAAATTTTAATAAATTAACCGTGTATCTAAAGCACACCGTATTGACACTCACACAATTGTCAACCACTGTCACATCATGCACGGCGCTGATGTTCAATACGGTGTGTTCGGCAAATCTCAATGATTTCTTTGTGATCCAATCCATTTGACTCAAGGATGCTAAACTCTTTCATCCAGTGCCACCGCGCTGCCAATCGAGTCGACGACGATGGAGACAATTCAATTTTTTTTATCCGTCCGCCGTATCGCATACATTCTCCGGGGAATTTAAATGAGAAATCATTTCAATAGCATTCACAGATTGACGGGGAATAGGGCGTGAAAAAAAAACACACACACACACAAATAAACCAGCCTCGTTGTTCGGATTTGACTTCCAACACTTTTATGAATAATAAATTCTTCACACTCTTTGTAATCAGATTTTCCAATGTAACATGTAACACAGTGGATCTGCTAATCAAAGTGTATGCAAAACTCGGAATCTCTGCTAACTAAAGTTGAATGCTTGATTGTATTGAACAGTGGCTACCATATCTAAAATATGTTGGAAAACATACAAATTTTTAATGTTGCATCGAATAAATTTGCCATCGTCATCGTTGTCGACGTGCTACTTTTTTTTGTTTTCATTCTCAACTTGTGTGTCATTTTTATGGCTTTCTTTGTGCATCCAACCCAAATAAAAGTTTGATTCCATGAAGACAAGTTGAAATTGAGAACATGCAAAATATTGCAGAAAATCAAACATCAACTTTAAAATTCATCAACTTTTATCGAAATACGGACAAAAAGTCACTTAAAACTATTGCCGATGTGCAATGTGCATCAGCAAATAGTTGTGTGGAAATTGAACACAATAACGACAACGGTGTTGCACGGGATGTTCAAATGATCGACAAGCACATACTGAGACACATAGTCAATAGACGTTTGCACATCGATTTTGTTTTTATTTGTCTTTTCTCCCATTCACTCACTCACTTACTCTATCTCTCTCTCTCTCTCTCTCTCTCTCTCTCTACCGCAATAGTTTCTGTTGCTCTGAAGCTGCATAAACACACACACATACAAAACTCAAGCTAACCATAAAACAAGAAAACTATATAAGAGAGGAGGAGGAGAAAGA